ATGTTTGTGGTTGTAATGTGACAAAATATGGAAAAGTTCAAGGGGTATGAATACTTTTGCAAACCACTGTAGATATTTGGTCTGAATCCTAATTTTCTGTCGTTTTATTGAGGAATTTTTGATGTCCTTATAAAGAGGAAACCTCAGATTATAATCAGAGTGCATTGCCAATGCACACTATTGTGATTCGTTTCCCATCCAAGTCATCTAAACTTTGCCATGCTTCTCCTCCTGCATACTTTGTTCTAGAGCTGCCATTGTAATTTATATCTGTAAAGCCCCTGTGCCAAATGATGGCTATGCCTTTTTGTGCCTGTACAACTTATAGCTTTTGAAATATTAATGTTTAATAAATTATAATGGCAGTCAATGGAGCCTTGTATTGGTCCAATACTGCCCCCTGCTGCATCTACACAATATGGTACTGCACCATAGTTTAATAATACTGTATTTAATCTCAATAGTTCAGTGTTTACAYTACTAATATGATTGTATTTTGATGTTTTACTATAATGTTGTCTTAATACTGCTCTATTGTTTAATATTATGCAGTTTAGTGTCAATAATTGTATTGGCAATGTGGCCGCTTTCTGCACACATACAAACCAACCCCTGGCACCACCTTCTTCCACAGCTCCTTTGGTCTAATGGTCTATGTCAGGGACTTTCATGTGGGAGATCAGGGTTCAAAACCCAGCTAATGCAACTTTAAGAAAAAAATCTCTTCAAACTTCATATTGTCACACAATTACCTTAATTCTAAACACCTGCTGACTTGACAAGCACAAGCTGGTATCGAAAACACATTTCAACTTGGTCAAAGTTCATTCTGCAAGTCTAATGCTGCAGGCAAAGCCATGCTGCAATGACATGCTACGTGGCAATGCACACTTGTTTTCACATCGTAAAAACCCATGTCTAGTTGAATGTTGAGATTTCCCAGCTAAAAGAAACACAGCTTTGCTAACTCACAGGGAAAATCTAAATTTTTAAGGAGTTTTTCCTCAAAATCATTTTTTTGTCGCTACTGCTCAAAAAAGTGCTTCAAACTTTTGTTTTATTATTATATTTCAGACAGTTCATTCAAATGATACATTAATAAAATTCATTTTATTTTGACAAAATGCAATTTTTGTTAACATTTTAGTCAAAACACTGTTTGCCTATTTCTCCTTATACCACTTTTGGACTTAATCCTCGTTTCCATGTGACGGGTCACATATATTTATAAAATATACATACATATTGCCCACCAGATTTCAAGTTAAGAGTTTTAAACAAACAACTGTTTATCAAACCTTCAAAAGAACTATGATTTCTGCTCTGTCAATTTGAACTCATTATCTGCAAAGCCTCAGACAGGTTTGTGTTTCTGGCTCCAACAGTTGTTGTAAAACATGACTTTGTGATTCTGATCGGAGCGTTGGAACTGGTCTACCTCACTGAAGAGACTCCCGTTAACGTAAGAGATCCAGAGCTTCCAGAAGTTAGGCAGCTGGCCGATCACCACGTCCGAGAGCTTCTCCACGAACTGCACCGGCTGCGGCGTTTCCAGGCGCCAGGCTGCGAGGAGCATAAAACATCTTTACGTGTTTTAAACAATGAAAGTGTGCWGCTGCAGCGAGGACATCAAACTGTGTCACTGACAGTTCAGAGAAACAAGACAAACTCATTCCTGGAATTACAACATTATTTGTGTTTGTGTTGTTACTGTACGCAGTGTGAGGAGATCCCCCCCCACACACACAGAGTGGTCAGAGGCAGGGAATCCCCTCCTCAGCCCCGAGCGTGTGTGTGTGTGTGTGTGTGTGTGTGTGTGTGTGTGTGTGTGTGTGTGTGTGTGTGTGTGTGTGTGTGTGTGTGTGTGTGTGTTGAACTCACTGCTGGGTCGCTGCGCTCGCAGGCTGCCCCCTCTCTTCAGAGACGCAGAGTGGCCGATCCTGCCCAGGGTGGACGAGCGGGCGTCGCCCTCCAGGTCCAGAGCTCTGCCCCCCGCTGAGGGACAGAAGACGGAGACACGCTTCAGAAACCGTTTCTTATAAACTCCACGTTCATCAGTAAAACCTGCAGGTTTCCACAGCAAACGCTGAGTCAGCATTCAGACGATAAAAGAACGCTGAGTCAGATTTGTTTTTCACTTTGACTCCGTTTTTTTCAGCTGTTTTTGTCGTTTATATACAAACCGTTCAGCTCGTTTAGGAGAGGGTGCTTTTATACTTTCAACATTTTTAACTTTACAAATATTTTCTTTACAGATTTATTTTATTTATTTATTTTCTTTACAGATTAAATTTCTGTTTGAAATCTGGTTCATAGTTTCTCCATTTTTCTCTTATGCTTCTTTTAGCTTTTACTAAGCCTTGTGCAAGTTTTAGCTACAGTTTTGCAACTTTTGGCTAGATTTCTTTCATCTTCCAGGTAGTCTTTGACTAACTTTATCTCACTTGTTTGACACTTAAAGCTACTTATAGCTTTTGTTACTTCTACCAAGCCTGTAGCTACTTGTAGCTAGCCTTTTGATGCTTTCAGCTAATCTTACAAAGCTAGTTGTTAACTTTAGCTGTTTTTACCAGCTTTTTCCTGCCTTTAGCTTCCGGGTGTTTCAGTTTTAACATACAGTACTTTTGGCTTCTAACTAGCATTTACCTACTTCAAGCTTTTGGCCTGTGTTTTGTTAAATTTAGCTTACAGCTAGCATTTAGCTACTTCAAGCATTTGGTCTGTGTTTTGTTAAATTTAGCTTACAGCTAGCATTTAGCTACTTCAAGCTTTTGGCATGTGTTTTGTTAAATTTAGCTTAAAGCTAGCATTTAGCTACTTCAAGTTTTTTGGCCTGTGTTTTGTTAAATTTAGCTTACAGCTAACATTTAGCTACTTCAAGCTTTTGACCTGTGTTTTGTTAAATTTAGCTTTCAGCTAGCATTTAGCTACTTCAAGCTTTTGGCCTGTGTTTTGTTAAATTTAGCTTACAG